ACTCAAGGGCCTCACATCCTCTGCTGTCCCAGGAAAGGATGTTTGAAGCCACTTACCGGATCAGAAAAGGTTGATCAAAATAGGTAAATGCCAGGTGTAAGAGGGTACCAAAACACATGTCCAGATAAGAAAGTAAGAAGAGAAAGAGGGGGCCTCTGGATCATAGATGGAAACAAAGTCTCCTCAATACCCAGGTATATATACCAAAGAGGGTGATGGGGGTTGGGAGGAACTGGCAGGGACTGGGGGGGTGGTTGCAGCCATGGCCTCGCATGTAAGGCAGATGCTGTACCACTGAACTCAAACCCGGCCACTGAACATACTAAAGGATTAGAATCCTAAAGGATTGTTCTTCTAAAAGGTTGCATCGATGTCTGGCCATGTGGGTTTGCTTACAGGTGGAACAGGTTAGGACTCAGTTTGAGGAGAAGGCTGCCTGCAGACAGAATTCCAGGATGAACACTGGAGGCGATGTTCGGGGGTAGGGTGTCTTCATTTAGCAAAGAAATGCAGTGTTCTATTGCTGGGCGTATGGTCTAGCAGCTGTGTCTGACAGTGTAAAGCCAACAAGAAATGTATTTTCAGTAACAACAGGAAGGGTGCTTGCCTGGCACGTGGGTGACCCAGGTTTGATCCCCAGCATCCCGTATGGTCCCCTGAGTACCACCAGGACTAATTCCTGAGTGCAGAGCCAAGAGTAACCTCTGAATATTGCCAGGTGTGCCCCAAAAACCAATAAATAAAATTACTGGAGAGAGCAGAAAGCAGTAAATTATTTATGGTTGAGTAAAGCAAGTATTGTTAAAAGTATCAAAGAACAATTAACAGTGAATCTATTTGAGGTGTGTGCTCCAAAGCTGTTAGGAGACAGATGAAGGAAAAACGGCATTGAAGAACCTGTGCTTTCGGGCCGGGAAGGCTCATGAAAAGTAACTGCCGTTCTCGGCATGGGTGAGGCTTTGATGTCTAGCCCTTGAATTCCGCTTGTGATTTGCGCTGCCATATCTTTTAAGAAAGACATGAGAGAGGGGCCAGTTCCGAGTGGAGCAGCTGACGCTGGCTGGCCGGCCGGCCGGGAGAGAGCTGATTGAGAGATTAAGACCTTCCCTTTTTGAAAGGCCCAGACTCAAAGGAGATATGAGAGAAACCAGAGAGTGAGAACAGGGCTTTCCCTCGGTCTTGGAATCCTACAGCCAAAAGGTGTTCCACAAACTTCAGAGGGACCTTTACAGGCTATGCTAAAATCCTTGCTGCACGTGTGCCCCGAGTGTATGTGCCTTGGGTCCAGGTCCGCAGGTTCTTAACATGGCCACAGATCTGTGGATCTTGTGCCCTATTTGGGGTTCTTCGGTGTGTGCATCTAAGAAGATCACGGAAAAGTCCCTAGAAAACCTAAGCCAAGATGAACTCAGCAGAAGTCAGTCCGGCTCAGGTATTCAGGGCCTTTGAGCTAAGAAAGAAGAATGGTTCAAAGATGTAGCTATGGAGTGAAAAGTAGCGGGAAGTTACGTTTGGGCCCTTAAATAAAGTTTCAGAGAGCCATTGACCCTCACTGGACAGTGCCGTGGCCGCGTGCCCTGCAGTGCCTGACCTATTTACTCTCTGGCCCTGCAAGGAAAGGTTAGCAGACTAACACCCCTAGCTTCATTTTTCCAGTAAAGAAAAGGTTGTAGTGACCAGAGTAAAATTGCCAGAGACAGTCGGGTGGGGAGGGCTCTTCCCTTGCAAGTGACGGACTCTGGTTTGGTCCCTGAGCACCACCAGATGCGGGCTAAAAAGAAGAAAGTCCGGTATCGAGGAGGGAATAGAAGCCACACTAAGCTCCGTTTCACTCTTCCTCACGTTTGTGCTGGAAAGTGCAGGTGCCAGTAGCTGTCTCTGATTGTTATGTTTTAATTCAGAATTAAAGTTTTCAGTCCAGAGAGATGGCACACAGTTAGGGCGCTGGCCCTGGCCGCTGTCGAGGCTGTGAGCCTGCTTCCCGTCCCTGCACACCTCAGGGTGTGACCCCTCAAATAGAATTCCTAGAAGGTGAAAATGTCCAATAAGATTCTTCCGTCACACTGACCACGGTTGAGATCACCTGTGGCTGTATGTGTGACGAGGAGCTGCAGTGTTTGACGTAGAAAGAGTACTTGTACTCTTTGTAGACAGAGTACTTCCGTCACTGTCACTCCTCAGAGTGCCATCAGATACTGATCGCTGCTGCATTTTGATAAGTTCTGTGTGGTTCTTCTGCCTAGCACTTTTCTCATTCACTGTCACTGTCCTCCCGTTGTTCATCGATTTGTGCGAGTGGGCCCAGTAACGTCTCCATTGTGACACTTGTTACTGTGTTTGGCATATCGAATACGTCACGGGGAGCTTGCCAGGCTTTGCCGTGTGGGCGAGATACTCTCGGTAGCTTGCCGGGCTCTCCGAGAGGGGCGAAGGAATTGAACTCGGGTCGGCCATGTTGGCTGCATGCAAGGCAAACACCCTACACACTGTGCTATTGTTCCATCATTTTCTCAAAACTGCCAGAAGCTTCTAGAAATGAGAAAGCTGAGGCTAGGGAAGAGAGGCTTGCCCAAGACCACACAGCTTCTGGTCGTGAGTCAGGATGTGCAGCCAGACACAAACGGGCTTCAGAGTCCCCATTGGTGGTCACTCCGTGCCGAGTTGGGTTAGAAGTGACCACAGGGGAATGGCGACAAAGGAGATGGCGCTTTCCGAGGGAAATGTGGCACTGCAGAGTTTGAGTATGGAGCACAGGACGTCATGTTGGATGTAATAGCTCCGAGTCCTTCCTCGGGAGAAGTGTGGGGCAGAACTAACTGTGAAGCCAGCGGTCTTGGCAGCTGCGGGTGGACGACGTGTCCAAAGGCCAGTGCCTGTCCTTCCTGGCCGGGGGACGTGAGGGCGGTGGAGGAAGCCATCAGCTAGGAATTTTGTTTCTACAAAAGTGATGTGTTGGGGCTGGAGTGATAGCATAGCAGGTAGGGCAATTGCCTTGCACTCAGCCGACCCAGGTTCGATTCCCAGCATCCCATATGGTCCCCTGAGCACCGCTGGGAGTAATTCCTGAGTGCAGAGCCAGGAGTAACCCCTGTGCATCGCCAGGTGTGACCCAAAAAGGAAAAAAAAAAGTGATGTGTCTCTTTGTTCTTGTTTTTCAAGCCCACTGTAATACTGCTTAGGTGGTCAGTTCCATTATTTCTAGCTACATGACCAATGACAGTCTTGAATATTTTAAGCAAACACAGTTACAAAACTTTTTTTTTTTTTTTTGCATCTGAGGCAGTTGTTGGCATTGAATTGTCCCTTCGTGTGAGTGGGCTGTTGGGGGGTTGGTGGTTCTGTTTTCCGAACTCTCCCTGAAGACTGATGTCTCCCATTGTGTATTCTGAGCCCTAGGTGATCGTGTACAGCAATCTGATAATACGCCATGTCAGTTAGATGTCAGTATACGGCAGGAATAGCATTCACATTCAATCTGTAGGGTTTTATTTAGCACGTATAGAACATTTGAAAGAACTCAGCCCTGTGGGAAGTATTTTATCAAGCTGCTGACTCATTCGTCTCCCGTACCCCCGTGAGGCAACACTGTTCCCTCTGTCCTGTGGGTAGAGAAGCTGATGTGAATCTGCCCGAGTGGAAAGTGGCCGAGAGGAACCCACGACCAGGCAGAGTCCTCTCCTGTCTGTTTCCCAGGAGCGCCGTCGATCCGTTTGCCATGCATCAAGCATCCTGTCTCCATTTGGGGCTGTTGATAGCTGTTGGCATCTCATACCTCATGTACGAGATGCAGATGGCAGGTGAGGCTTGATCGTTGCTAGGTCCAGTGGCCACTGGGACCGGTTCGCTTTTCATAGACTTGTCCCCAGACTGTGAGTTGCTCGAGGTAGCATCCGAGTGCTTCAGGGCACAAGTTACTGCAGCCAAAAAATTCTGTCACCCGTGGAGAGGGCTGTGTGTGTGTGTGTGTGTGTGTGTGTGTGTGTGTGTGTTGGGGGAGTTGGGTTTTGCAGAAGGTGGACTTGAAACTGGCTCGATTTCCTAAGAAGCCCATTGAGCGTTCAATGTCCGTTTCAATTGATCGGCGTGACTTTCATTCTGAGCTCCACCAGCAGTGGTCATGGGGCTGGGGGCCGCTCCCAACTGGGTCAGAGATGCAAGGACTGTGATGGGGGTGGGGCGTGCTGTGCCCCGCCCTGGGCCTGGCATTCTTCCGTTGCTCAGAGCAGCCTTTATTCTAAAATTAGACCATGTTGTCATTTTTCGGTTTCTCGCAGGCACACATGGCCGTGGTGTAGTGTTTCTAGGAGCATCGATCTAGAAATTTCCTACTCACTCAGCAGGATTTCTTGGTTGCTGGGAGGATGATGGTAGTTTGAGAGTAGAATGCGTAACTAGCGTGTACCAAGCCCAGAGTTCAATCATTGGCATCCCACACTCCCCCAGGTAGTTTTATTAAAATAAGATTCAGGGTCTGGAGAGATTGTACAGCAGGGAGGGCGCTTGCCATGCACATGGCCAACACCAGCCCCGGATTGATGCCTGGCACCCCAGCTGGTCCCTTGGGCCCCGCCAGGAGCCATCCCCCATCTCAGAGCGCCGCCGGGTGTGACCTCAAAACCAAAACAATTTAAAAAAATTAAAAGTTATTCACAGCTGGATGAAATAGTGAGCTTCAAAACCCAATTTTAAAAGAGAGTCGAGGGCCAGGAATGTCCCTGGGTTTGAAGGCTGGCCCCACCAGTGAGGCTCCTCCCCCACAAAAAAAAAAAAAGCATTCATATTGATGTGGTAAGTGATTAAAGTATCTTCCTGAATATTTTAGATTTGTTTCACTTAAAAGCATTTCAGAGCACGTTGGGAATGTGCGCTGCTCTGAAGATGAGGGTAGGTGGGTACCAGAAGCTGTCCCGTGACCAGTGGCCAGCGGGGCCACTGGAAGTGCCATTGAGATGCCCCTCTCTGGGTGCTTGAGTTTTAATTCTCTGTTTCCTCGTTTTCAGGCAGAAATCGAGCTCTTTGTGAACAGGCTTGACTCCGTGGAATCTGTTCTTCCTTACGAATATACTGCGTAAGTTTTTCAGCTTGGGGTTTCTAGAGAAATGTCTGACATCACAATTTCTGTAGTTGAAACTTAACTTTCTCTACAGTACATACGATACATTTCAGAGGGTCAGTTTTTTTTGTTTTTGGTTGTTGTTTTAGGTTATATTTTTGTTGTTGTTGTTTATTTGTTTTTGGACCATCCTCAGCAATGCTTGGGGTTACTGCTGGCTCTGCACACAGGAATCACTCCTGGTGGTGCTTGGGGAATCAGGGGATGTTGGGGATCAAACACAAGTCGGCCGCGTGTAAGGCAGATGGCCCTCCCTGCCGTGCTGTCACTCCAGCCCTTGGGTTTTTTGTTTTTCGAATGTCCAGGGCTTGGGCGAGGGACATAGCTAGTGCAGGGGCCCTGTCTTAGACTCAGGGCATCCTGGGATGTGGTGAAGATTGCCGCCTCCCAGCAGTCCCACTGGTCCCGGGGTAGTCCAGCTGTCGGGGCAGGGACCATGGGTGCTGGACACAACCTTGGCCGTGCCCTCCAGCCCTTTGAGCTATCCCCCTGGCCCCTCAAACACTTTGTACAGTGCTTTTCTATTTTGCTCTTTTTTCTTTTTTCCCCCCCCAAGATGGAGCTAACATGTAAAAGGTTCTCTTTTGTTATGTTGCTTTGCAGAAAACTAAAACAGTAGCTATCTTTCTTTCTTGTGACTGGATGAATACCCATTTTGAGGGTCGCGGGAGACCGCTCAAAGGACTGAAGTACATGCAGGAGACCTGGCATTAGTTCCCAGCTCTGAATTTTTTTTTTTTTTGTCCTGGTGGTTTTTGGTCACATCTGGCAATGCTCAGGGGTAACTCGTATTTCTGTGCTTGGGAATCACTCCTGGTGGTGCTCAGCAGACCATCTGGGATGCCGGGATCAAACTCAGCTCAGCCATGTGCAGGGCAGAAGCCCTACCTGCTGTGCCAATTCTCTTGCCCCAACCCAGCTCTGATTCTGGCCCCACCCCCCACCCCCCTGGGCATTGGGGGACAGTCCCTGAGCTTTGCCTCGGAGTCAGCCCAAACACCTCGGGCTGTACCTGAGCACGAAAGGATCCCCAAACCTGATCTTGTTCTACGTTTTTTGTTTGGGGGCAATGTTCAGGGCTTACTCCTGGCTCTGTGCTCAGGAGTCACTCCCTATGGGATGCTGGGGATCAAAACCAGGTTAGCTGTGTGCAAGGTCCCTGCTGTACTGTGGCTCTGGCCCCTGTTTTACTTTTTTGCGTCGGGATCGAACAGGGCTGACTACCTGCTGGATGAGCATCCTAACCCCGGGCTCTCTCTGCCTCTCCAAAGCCCACACATTGCAAATAATAATTTGAAGTCACACTGAACACAGACCGTCCTCAGAGACTGCTGCGTTTTTAATCTGCATGTTCTAGTGTATGTAGCATTTGTACACTTGGGGTGCTGGGGAGGCACGTGGGGGGGTCTCCCTCAGTGTAGGAGAGACCCTCGGCCCACCATTGCTTCTCAGCGGACCAGACCTGTGATTGGGTCCGAGGGCCCTTCAGGCTGCCTCCCTGGTGTTCGGGACCATGTGGAGCTGGTCTGAACCTGGGTCTGGATGCTTGCGCTCTAGCCGCTATGGTACAGCCCCTTTCGTTTTTGTTTGAACGGAGTAGTCGTACATTTGTGTTTGATTTGCCCGACCCCAATCCCGCTTTCTGTAAGGTTTCTCTCTTACACAGCTACCTCAGTCTTTTCGTTTCTTTTGTCACACCCAGCAGTCACTCCTGGTTCTGCCCTCAGGAATCACTCCTGGCGGGGCTTGGGGGACCTTGTGGGCTGCTGGGGATCAAACCTGAGTCAGCCGCGTGTAAGGCAAGTGCCCTCCCTGCTGTACAGTCAATCACTCTGACTCCTCGCCTTGGTTTTTTATCGCCTAAATTTGTCTTCCTCTCAGAAACCTGATCTGTGGTCCTCACAGTGCTGGCCAGCGTCTCCACCCCAGGTGCCCTTTTCTCTTGTTTAATAGATTCCAGGGCCGGAGAGATAGTACAGCGGGGGGAGCGTTTGCCTTGCATGTGACTGACCTGGGTTCGATCCCTTGCATCCTACTTGCCACCCCCCCTCCCGCTCAGTATGGCCCAAAAGTCAAAAAATAGACTCTAATGTATCTGCTCCTGCAGGCATGAGATCAGGGTGTGCGTGTGGGCTATGTGTGGGGTCCGTGTGCACATGTGTGAGGGTTGTGTGGTATGTGTGTGAGGGGTGTGAGAGGTGTGTGGTATAGAGTGTGTGCAGTGTGTGTGCAGCTGTGTGTGGTGTTCAGCCGTGTGTGTGTGTGTGTGTATGTGTGCCCTCTGACAGCCATGCAGCCTTGACCCCTGGGCCACCAAGCTGACACAAATGAGACTGAACTGTGGTTTGAACCCTACAACCTTTTTGCACAGAGACGCTTCAGGGCATTTCCACAGTTCCTCGTTCTTGGGGTCCGCCTGCCGAGGTGAGGTGGGACCTCACCAATAGTGGTGGCAACTTGGGTAAGTGAAGGGGGAGACCTGGCAGCTCTCCATGATGTCCCAAGTAAATATTCGGCGTAGAGAACTCGAGCAAGTGAAACTGGGTTGTGCAGGCTTTGCTCAAAAAAATAACATAAAAATTGGATTGCTGGGCTGGACAGTGAGTCCCGCTGTCCGGACAGCTCAGGGGTGAGGACACCGCGGGCCTGTCATGATGCTGGGTACAGTGCACAGCACCGAAACAGTTAAAAAATCATAATGCGGCAAAGATAAATTGTAAACTTCACAAACCAATGAAAAACTAATTTCCAGGCACTGTTATTTTGGGACGAGGTGTATGGAATTTAGACTGGCACGGCTGGAGCAGTTCGGTACCCGCTCTGCCCTCAGGGTAAAGAGGTTTGATGCTCTGCTGGTTCTGCTGATGTTTGCAAACTCACGTTCTCCTCCCTCAGGTTTGATTTTTGCCAAGCGTCAGAAGGAAAACGCCCATCTGAAAATCTGGGCCAGGTATTATTTGGAGAAAGAATTGAACCATCGCCATATAAGGTTTGTACTCAGTTTCTTGGCTGTCTGTCTCTCTCTGTCTCTCCCTCTCTCTCCCCTCTCTCTCTCTCTCTCTCTAACAAAAAAGCCTGAGATAACTTAATTCTCACCGCTGAGAAGGAATTCATTTCTCTTATGCATCCAGGAATTCTTATAAGTTAGAATTTAGAAGGATCCCTCCCCACCTTACAATATGTCCTGGATCAGTCAGTCCTAAACTGTTTTAAATCCAGTAAGTCACTAAGGTAGTGACCAAAAGGACACTGACCTGGCCACACCGCCTTACTGAGGGGCCTGGGACAGCCTGGCTCCCCTGTCTCGCCCTCGGCTCCCATTCCCTTGAGGGAGGTAGTTACAGATTTTTTTTTTTCTCTAGTAGCAAATGCACTATTTGGATGCCCCTGGGGCCTAGGGGACATTACCTTTCTATTTTGGCCATCGAAAGTATATTTGGAGCGTCTTTTTGATTCATTTTTCTGGACGTCATTTCAGCCAAACAGCACAATACGCAGTACCCTCGTCAGTGTGTGTCTGCCCCACCCCCAGCCTGTCCCTTGCACGTCCCTGATCTCTGAAGCCTTTTGTTCTTCCGCATTGCACATCCCTTGTTCATTTTATATCTCCTTTCCTGCTGTGCGAAGAATGGCGGTCTCTTTCTGTAAAAAAAAAAAAAATGGCACAGAAGAAGAGAAAATGAAAAGCCCCTCTCCCTTGCCTCCAGCGCCTGTGACCGCTCCCGAGACGGTCCATGCAGCTCCAAGCACGTCGCTGTCGCATTCCATCTACTTATTTGTGTTTTCGTGTGTTTGCCCTGCGCGGGTTCCCTTGAACTGTGTCTCAGGCATCTGTCCACTTGAGCACGTTCACTGTAATGCCCTAACTGGGCCCGAGTTTTACCCCCCAGCCCTAGGTCCCCCTCTTGGTACCACCTTCGGCTCTTCTCTGGCCCACGCCTCACAGTGAGCTGCCTCCCGCTTCCATCCCTCTCCCTCGGCACTTCCTGCACTGGGCATGTGCCCGGCAGACCCTCCTGCCTGCCTCGATTAGTCCCACTGACCACTTCCCTCCCTCCAGTGCCCCTCCCCCCGCCCTGTGCAGCGTGCAGCACCAGGGGCAAAGGCATAAATGCGCAGGTTCCAGTGTACTCTTCCCCCCCGCCCCAGGACTGGAAATCTTTTTTTTTTTTTTTTGCTTTTTGGGTCACACCCAGTGATGCACAGCAGAGGTTACTTCTGGCTCATGCACTCAGGAATTACAGGAATTACTCCTGGCGGTGCTCGGGGGACCATATGGGATGCTGGGAATCAAACCCGGGTCGGCCACGTGCAAGGCAAACGCCCTCCTCGCTGTGCTATCAATTGGTCCAGCCCCGACAGGTGTACTCTTAACATACTTTTAATTTGAGACTTTCTACCCTTCAGGTGACAGTAAATTCAAAATAAAATTTTCCCCCGAGAACTTGAAGGTGTCATGGGCTTGAGTCGCTGGTGCAGAAGGATCTGAAGGCCTTTGGGCTGAGGGGAGCGGGTGCAGCCGGGCATAATCAGATAGCTTCTCCCTTGTGTTTAAGTGTGACAGATTATTATTATTGTTATAAGGATTGGGGTCACACCCAGCTTGCGTAAGGCTTACTCCTGACTATGGCCAGGGATCACTCCTAGCAGTGCTTGGGGGACCATTCGGAATACTGGGGAACTTACCTCCTCATTTTGCACGCTTTAATTCGTAAGGTCAAAATGTTCTAAGATGGCATAAACATTGCTGTGTGCAGAGAGGTGGCGGTGTGACCAGACTGAGCTCAATGTGGGGCAGCGGGAGGGACCCCAACCCTCCCCAAGTCAGCGAATGCTCTGCAGTGGGCTTAGGGCTTGTAACAAATTATATTCCATAGAATGAATGCCTGGAAGTGAAGTAGACACAGATTGTAGTTTGCTTCTAACTAGAGTTTAATTTTAAAAACCATCCAGTTGTGAAGTATGTAATTAGTTCAGGATACCAAAAACTAGGAAAATAGAGTTTTAAAGCTCAACTCTAAATGGGCCCTAAATTTAGTAAATCTTCATCATAGAGTATGTTTCAGATCACATTTTACACACATGAACTTTTAAGTCCTGTGCTCCAAGTTGGGACACCCTGTCTTTTACATTTGTTCTGTGAGGTTTCAACTCTACCTTTTGTCTCAGCTTATAAATAAACGGGAGCCTGAAAATTGACAGTCTCTCCGAATGTGAGTGAGAAGAATCCCTGGGCCCTGGTGTCAAACATCCAGACTTGACTTTCTTACCCCGTCACAATCTGGTCTGCCCTGGAGCTCTCCAGTGAGGAGCACGTGGGCAGAAGCGCCCCTTTCCTGGATAGTCACTGGACTCCCTGTCGGCTCTACAGGGTGGGGGGCTCTCTCCCACTCTTCACTCTCATTGATGTTAAAAGGCGGGTGATTCCCCGGTCGATGCTGTTGAAGTGATCTGTAGTCAAATGATCTGTTACCCATTAAAAAAAAAAAAAACTTAATGATTTAAGGGTTGTAGAGAATCAAGAAGACTGAAATGTAAATCCATGATGAGGAACTTAAAGATGATTAGTATTAATGTACTAAAGCAGCTAATGAGACCAATGCATATAATTTGAAGGACCTGGATTTTTTTTTCTTTCTTCCTTAATTTGCTTTTTCACTTGATTTTTATGCAGTTTATATTTAATAAAAAAGAGACCTGTAAGCTTGTGTGTACAAAAACGTACCATACCGAGAAAGCTGACGACAAACAGAAGCTGGAATTCCTGAAAAAAAGCATGTTGCTCAACTACCAGCACCACTGGTAAGTTATGGGAGGGGGTTTCGGGCTTATATACTGTGTACATATACCACTGGGGGATGCGGGTTTCTGGCGTTTTCCTTCTCAGGAAGAAATTTGCGTCTCACTGCACATACTGCCTCATTCGTGCTACAAAATATGGATTGATGGATTCTCCTTGTTTGCAAATAGTAGAATAAACAATAACTTACTTGTAGAGGATTACTGAGGTTGACAATCTGAGGACCTGACCTATCTTCCATCTGGCTTGGGCTGCTGTAATACCTGGTACTGCTTGCACACATAAAGTCACTTCTTCTACTCCTGTCCCGGCAGTAGGCGCATGTTGATGCCTTGAGCAAGGACCTGTATTCCTTTTCAGACAGTCTTGTTACTTTATCACTTGAGCTGTAAACCCAGGGAAAAGAGAATTTAACAGTTTATGTTTTGATAAGTAGTATCTTCTTCCCAGCAGGCACACTTTGTTGTAATCTGTTGTTTTAAGCAGATGTAATGTTTACCAGTTTGTCCTGTAATCAAGAAACAGTTTAAACAGTTATAGAACCATCAACAAATCACAAATCATCCTGTTATTCGTCGATTGCCTCGAGCAGGCCCCAGTAACGTCTCCTTCATCCTAGCCCTGAGATTATATTCAAGGCTCTTTAGGAGAATGAGACCCATCATTGTTACTGGTATTTGGCATATTGGGTACGCCACGGGGAGGTTGCCAGACTCTGCCGTGTGGGCAGGCTACATTCGATAGCCTGCCAGTTTGTCCAAAGTAGGAGTGAGATAATAAGATGTCATAATAAGAACCATCAACACAGAATCTAAAAAGGGTCTCCAAGCCCACATTTCCCAATGGCCGCTGTTACTCCCGGGTCATTTTGACCACAGTGGCTCATATCCTGTACTTGCCTCGGACGTGCTGAGCAGACAGCTCACAGTCCTTCATAGTGTTGCATAATAAGAAGAAAATTAATTTGACATAGTAAGAGTTAGCAAATAATTTGGGGTTCTTCTGTTTGTTTTTGGCAGGGAAAAGAATCAAACTGTATCTGTCTGAACAGCTTGTAACCATACCATAATGCATGTATAATACAGACAATCATACAGAAGTTCAAAACTGAAAATTTACATATATACAAATAGAAATATTTTGCTCTTCCCATTTTTCATTCTACAAACTGATAACAGTTTGGGCCAGAATGATACACTGGGTGTAAGGTGTTTGCCTTGCATGCAACAGACCTGCCCTTGATCTCGCATCCCACATGGTCCCCCAGGTGATTCCTGAGTGCAAATCTGGGCCTAATACCTGAATATTACTGGGTATGGCCCCAAAACAAAAATAAACCCAAAAAAAGATGAGTTTTTAAATGTCTTTTAATATCTAAAATTGAGGTTCTGTGATTTACAGTACTGTAATCATAATACTGTGATTTACAACATTTTTTTTTTTTTGCTTTTTTGGGTCACACCTGGTGTTGCACAGGGGTTACTTCTGGTTCTGTATTCAGGAGTTACTCCTGGCGGTGCTCAGGGGACCATATGGGATGCTGGGAATCGAACCCGGGTTGGCCGCGTGCAAGGCAAATGCCCTACCTACTGTGCTATCACTCCAGCACCCTTTTACAACATTCTTAATGATTTATAACATTCTTAATGATTCTTAATGATGGTTTCTGTGTATATATCCACCATACTTACCACCAGAGTACCCACTACCTCCCGAAAGGATTCCAAAGTCCCTTTCCCCTTCTCTCTCTCCCCCTCTCCCCTTCTCTCTCCCTCCCCTCTCCCCCTCCCCCTCTCCCTCCCTCTCTCTTTCCCTTCCACTCTCCTCTCTCCCCCTCCCTCTCTTTCCCACCCTGAGATAGCTTTGGATTACATCGCCTTTGGCCTGTTGTGTGACCTTGCTGTGTATCTTTAAGTGCCACAGATAAGTGAGGTCATTGTGTATCTGTCCCTTTCCTCTGTCTGACCTCACTCAGCATTAATGCCTCTAGTTCCATCCCTGTCATGGCAAATTGCATGACTTTATTCCTTCTTAGAGCTGCATAGTATTCCACTGTGTATATATACCACAGCTTCTTGATCCTTACATGCTTAGTTGGGCATTTGGGTTGTTTCCATGTCTGGGCTACTGTACTAAATCGTGATGAGTATAGGGTGGCACATGCCCTTTAGAATGAATGTTTCTGTGTTTTGGAGATAGATGCCAAGAATTGATATCACTGAGTTCCATGGGAGTTCTCTTCCAGTGTTTTGAAAGTTCATTGTCCACGTTGCACTAAGCAGTTTGTGATAAGTGTTACCAGTTGCAAACTTCAACTCTTATATATAGAAAATTAACTGGAAAATTGCTGATAAATAATAATTTTATAGCAGAATCATAAAAGCTTACGATTCCATCCTGGTTCTGCAAGCAAAATATCCAGGCTCTAAAGTCAGCCCACTATATGTTTGGAAAATGTTGATTCACATTGATGCATTTATTCGAAATATTAGTTGGGTATATTTCTGTCCTTGACTTATTTCAGAAAACTTATGTAACTTGACCTTAAACATAAGTTATAGACCCGTTAATTTTCAGGTAATCATGAACCTGTAGATATCAGGAAAAGACTTTTAGACGTCTAATGTTCTCTTAGGAAATTTCACTGTGAATGGCTTACTTTTTCTTAACCTGTGCTCTAACAATTCAGTTTTGGTTTTGGCCCACACCCTGCAATGCTCAGAGCTTCCTCCTGACTCCGGGGCTCAGGGACCCTCTGCGGTGCTGAGGATTGAACCTCGGTCGGCCGCATGTGAGGCAAGCGCCTTGCTGTGTTCTCTTGCCTGACCCTCCCCAGCTGCTTTGTGAATCTTGAGACTGATGGGGTTGTCTCTTTTTTTTTTTTTTTGAAGTTTTTTTTTTTTTAACTTTTTAATTGAATCACTGTGAGATAGACCCTTATTCACGATTGGGTTTCAGTCACAGTGTTCCAACACCCATCCCTCCACTAGTGAGTGTACATTTCCAGCACCAGAGTCCCCAGGTTCCCTCCCATCACCCACCCCCTCCACCCCCTGCCTCCCTCTATGGCAGGTGCTTTTCTCTTCTCTCTCTCTCTCTCTCTCTCTCTCTCTCTCTCTCTCTCTCTCTGTTTCCCCTTTTGGACATTGTGATTTGCAGTATTGATACTGATAGGTTTTTGGTTTTGTTTATTTTGAGGCCACACTTGGTGATGCTCAGACTTACTCCTGACTTTGCACTCAGGACTCACTTCTGGCAGTGCTTGGGGGACCCCATGGGGTGCTGGGATAGAACCCAGCTCGGCTGTGTGCAAGGCGAGCGCACTCCCCGCTGTACTATTACTCTGGCCCCATTATTATTTTTTTTTATCTTTTTTTTTGTTTTGGACAAATGTTTTAATACTAGTACCAGAGTGCTCTTTTCTTCAACTGCATGGTTTGTGGTGATTATACTCTCCTTACCTAAATTCCCAAATCTTGGTGACAGTTTATTGATAAAAGTAGATTTTATGTCACTCATTATTAGAGTTCTTACATTCTGTTAGTATCATAGAACTAGTTGATTGGACAGAAAGGGACCTTTGAAGATATTTTAAGTCTAATGAGAACTGAATTCCAGAATCCAGAGAGCTATCAGAGGGGAGTGGAAAATTCAAAACCGTAATGGAAGATTCAGAGTTTACATATGTTAAAATTATATGCAATAACGTAAGTGTCAAGTTTCTTTGCTTTAGGGTGTAGTTTTCTGAGTGTAATTGTGACCATATGGGCTGTTTTGTTCTGATCAGAAACTGGGAATTGATTTGGGAAATGAGTTATTAGCAAGTAAAATTTATTGAAACAAGTGTTGCAAATGGAGTTAGGGGAAGAAGAGGTAATTGGTAGGAAGGAGACCTCAGTGCAGGGTTTCGACCAGCCATTAGGCCTGAAACCTTTCTCAATGTCCCTTTTTGTTCCCTCATATTGAAAATGCGATTTTAAAATATTTTAAGGAGGTAATTCAAATAAATACTGTTCTCACAGCATGGTAATAATTGAAAACAATATTCTTCCCATTTTCTTCCTTTTATTTCTAAGAGCTTGTGGTGGCTTTCTGTTTTTCATTTATTGTAGCTAAGGTAATGTGTTCACAATAGTGTTGGCATTTATGGTCTTGGAGTACTCAGTTATCTCCCCTTACCACCGCCATGGTGCCTCACAGCTCCCCGCCCCCCACTTCCTGCCCAAAGTACTCATGGGGGTGTGGGGCTGGGCCCCATCCAGCAGTGCTCAAGGCTGACTCCTGGCACTGTGCTCAGGGATCCCTCCAGGCAGGACCCAAGGGTCATTCCTGGTGGGCTGGTGGTGGTGGGGATCGAACCCTGCTGAGCCACGTGCGAAACAAGCCCTGTAGTCCCTGTACTTTCTGTGTTGTGACAGTTTTTAATGTTCTTCCTATTACCAGGAAAAATATATAGATTGTATAAACCAGGATGCAGGCTTTTTAAGATACCTAAATTGCCACTAATTGCTTTTTTTTATAACTAGTGTAATGATTTTTATGTAGTACTTTCCCTGATCTAGATAGCATGAGATGCTATAATTAATATGCCACTGGTAGATTAATTGAACTTTATTCTCTTTCTGAAATATTAAAGCAATTAACTAACTCTTCAGGCCGCTAGAAATCTGAATTATTTATTTGGCAGAGCATTACTCGGGTGCTTCTCATATTCTGTAGTCTTTTCGTGGGGACTGCTAGCCTGCTGCTTAGAGTAATAAGCAACTTTTAATAGTGAAGCTGTTTCTGACACTGGGCATATTGGGTACTATTAAATGGCATTTAAATGTGACGAGGCCTGTTTTATTGGGCCATTAATGTTCACATTGGGTACATAGAGAGCCATAATTTTACTTCCTGAGGCATAGATTAATTAACAAATAAAACACAGCCTGGGGTGTCGTCTGATGCGGTGGTCCCGGGCCGGCCCCTTGCTCAGGCCCACACCGGCCCGCCCACTGCTGCGGACCCCGACTCTGTGCCCTCACCCGTGTTGTAAAAATAAAAGATGCTTTTTCGCTGTAAATTTGGGGGAATTGTTGTTCTAGATGTGGCAGATACACAGGTTTTTTTTTTTAATTTTAATTTTTTTTTTTATTAGTGAAGCACCATGAGGTACAGCTGTAGATTTACAAATCTTTGTGCTTGGGTTTCGGTCATACAATGATCAAATACCCATCCCTCCACCAGTGCCCATTTTCCACCACCATGGATAATATCCCCCCCATACCCCCCTTCCCACCCTGCCTCTGTGGCAGGGCATTCCCTTTTGTTCTCTCTCTCCTTTTGGGTGTTGTGGTCTGCAAAAGAGGCATTGAGACACAGTTTTAATAGAGAATATTATGGTTGTTAAACATCCCCCCTCATACTGTTTTATCAGCCTTCAAAGGAAGGATTGAAATTGCTGTTTCGACTCGGAGCGCCCTGCTGTCGGGGATTCGTGCTCAGGTGCCTAACAACACCATTAAATTAACAGTTGCCATAAGTTAGTTGATAAAACAACTTCCCTGCATGCATTTAGAGCTTTAAAGACACTTTAATTTTCAAAAAACTTTACCAGATTTGGACGTAGTGCTGTTTCTCAGGAAATATATTTCTCGGTAGTTTGAGCATCTTAAGGCATTTATAAATGTTGGAATTTCACCAAGTGCTAACAGATATTTTAAAAATTTTTTTTTATAAAGTAGTTCACAGTATTTGATTACATTTAATACTCAAACACCAATTCTCCCCCGAAAAAAAAAAAAACACCAATCCCACAACCATTACAATTTCCCACCACATTTCGGGTGTTTCTATCCCAAATCCCAATCCCTGCCCCAAGGCAGAACCGAAATAATATATTTCCCTCTAAGATTGGTTACCTCCTACTTTGAACCCCATCGAATGTGCTTTGAACCCCATCTTGGATTATGGGTTGGGTGTGGCTTATGAAGTGTCCAGGGAAAGGTTCAGTCATGGGTGAGGTTGGGCCTGAGTGTGTGGAGAGCGGCCATGAACAGGGTGGCATTTGAGTTCTGGAGGTTTTTGGCTGCTGGGACTGGGTCCTTTGGGGTGGGGAGGGGTCTCACCTGCCCCCCTCTGGGGCGCCCCAAGTGAAACAACTGCTAACAGATTTGAGTGATGATTCTCAGTCGCAGTGGGTGATTTCTCACTCTGTTTTTGCATGAAGGATTGTGGATAACATGCCCGTGACATGGTGCTATGATGTTGAGGACGGTCAGAAGTTCTGCAACCCCGGGTTCCCGATTGGCTGCTACATCACGGACAAAGGCCATGCCAAGGATGCCTGCGTCATTAATGTAAGTTTGTGTGAGCGTTTATGAGGCTTTTAAAAATCCTGCGTGGGGGGTTCAAGGGCCCGACTGATTAGTCATTTATCAGTTTTTCATTATAATCATGTAATGGGTACGTGCAGATGTTTTAAAGTAAAATGACTGAGGTTGCCAATTAAACCAGATTATCAATCTGTAAGTTTAACTCTAGAACTAAAATTTTTCAAACTTAGTCCTGTGTTTACTGAGTATGTCTATCACATGTTGAGCATGATGCTACTAGGTGGGACTCTGTTCTGTACTAAAACGTGGATTCACAGATCAAGTCTTGAGATGTACATATAGCTCGTGGAGTGCTAGAAGGAGCTCACACACCTGTGAGACATCAAGACGCTGGGCCATAGCGGTAACTCAGTTGTACACACGCCTACTGGAGGCGATCACAGTTGTTTGGGTTATATTATTACAGTAACGTTTTGTGATTAAATCAGCCTGTTTTGAATAGACTCAGCTCTCTCTTTGGTGGGGGAACATACCCAGCTGGGTGCTGGGTCACTCACCATCCCATGTGGCCCCCGGGGTTGGCCCTCCTAAATGCGAAGGGCAAGATCTCTGTAGCCCCCAGGAGTCTCCCTGACCCGTAACCCTCTCTACATGCGTGTGATCTAGTTTGAGGCTAGCCCAGGAAGTCGGCTTTCGTGAGAGTAGAGGCCAAACGCCTTTGAATAATTTGGAATTATGATTTCATCTGAAGTTTTGAACTTTCAGGAACGTTACTCAAGCACGCAAAAGTTTAGCATGCTCCTAACATGGACATTCGTGCTGGAGATCTAACCTAGCTCCTGCATACTCACGGCACATACTTTACTGCCAGGCCATGTCCCCATGCCCGTAACGTGCAAGATTCGAAGGTTTAGTTTGTGTTCTGTGAAGAACTGGAAAATATTAGAGGTATTCTTATATCAGAATAAAAAATTACATTTGAGAGTGTAATTAATAAGTCAATTAATTTTTGACTTATTAGTAACTTAAGCCTGAATCTTAGGCCCTGGAGAGAGAGCACAGTGGTAAGGAGCTTGCCTGGCACGCGCCCAACCGAGTTTCATCCCTGGCATCCCGAGAAGGTCTCCACTGTGAGGAGAAATTCCTGAGTGCAGAGCCAGGAATAAAACCTTGAGCACGTCAAGCCAAAAACTAAAATAAAAATAGATAAATAAATAAACCCAAAACTTAAAAGTTTGTTTCTGGGGAAAGACTAAAATTTTGTCTCAGGTTGAATTTTCCAAATTTTTGTGACTCCGAAAAGTTCTTTTTCAAAATTTCATTTTTTCAATTCTCTTAAAATTATTACTGTTTCATTTTTGAGGGTCTGAGGGTCAGAGCTGGCGGTGCCCAGGTCTTCCGCTTGCCTCGGCTCGAGGGTCACTCCCTAGGTGCAGTGCCCAGAGCCTGGCTTGGCCACGCCCCTCCCGGCGCTCATTTGAAAGGTCTCTGTTTGGACACGTTGTAACACTCGCTTCCCTCCTGTCCCTCAGTCTGAATTCCATGAGAGAGATACTTTCTACATCTTCAACCATGTTGACATCAAAATCCACTACCACGTTGTTGAGACTGGGTCCATGGGGGCAAGACTCGTGGCTGCAAAGCTTGAACCCAAAAGGTAAGCCCATGCACAGGGACGACAGGGACGGCGCCGTGGAAGGGGTGGTGGGCCCGTGGGGACTTTCCCTCTCTCCGTAGCACTGTGTGCTGGTTTCTCAGGGTGGGTGTCACTAAGGCTTCACCCGAGTATGGGCGGGTGAAACTGCAGATGGTCCTTTTCCTCTCCAGCCCGGCCTTCCACTCAGCCAGTCCCCCGGGACCAGCGTTCTCCCTGAGCCCGGAAGGCCGCTGGGCCTCACAGGGGCCCGGGAAGCTGGTCAGTGCTGTCCCTCCTCTGTCCAGCGGAAGGGCTCAGTGCCAGCATGTGGCCAGCCGTTGGCAGCTGATCTGCCGGTCATGTCTTGTCCAGCCCGGGGGCTCCTCTCGGGCCTTTAAGAGACCCGTTCATGCAGGAGTGCCCCATGCCCTCAGAGGACAGTCCACTTGGCGCCCTCAGTGTATTTGTAGATTCTTCAATGCATCTCAGGTGCGGTGCATCTGAGAAGTGTGTTTCTAATTTCGAGTGATAATGTTGTGCCCCTGCACAGTAACTGAGTTCGTAATTTTTTAAGGAATGTGTTACCTGTCCCTTGGGTGTCCTGTGAGGTTTTGCTTTTGACTCCCAGCCCTGTGGCGAGAGGCATAGAGACTCTCTGACCTTTTCTGGCTCCCACATTTAGAAAGTGCCCCTTATCAACCTCTTGCGGAATGTTTGTCCCCACAGCTACAAACACACCCACGTCGATAAGCCCGACTGCACCGGACCCCCCATGGATATAAGCAACAAGGCTTCTGGCGAGATCAAGATCGCCTACACATACTCTGTCAGCTTCCAGGTGAGCAGAACTTAGAAAGCGCCTTCAAGCCCATGTACTGCAGCTAATTAAAAGCAGCGATGACTGAGCTTATCAAACAGGTGCACTTTTCATTTGTTTGGCTTTTTTGGGCCACACCCAGCAGTGTTCAGGGCTTACTCCTTGCTCTGCACTCAGGGATCGCTCCTGGTCAGCTCAGGGAGGCCGAGGATCAAACCCTGGTTGGCTGTGTGCAGAGCAAGCACCCTTTCGCTCATACTATCACTCTTGCCCCAAACTCATACACTTTTTTGTTTTGTTTTGCTTTTTGGGTCACACTCAGCGATGTTCAGGAGTTAGTCTTGTCTCTGCACTCAGGAATCACTCCTGGCAGAGCTCACGGGACCATGTGGGACACCAGGGATTGAACCCAGATCGGCTGCGTGCAGGGCAAGCGCTCTCCCCACTATACTGTTGCTCCGGGCCCCCACCCCCACGTTTTTTAAGGACCTAGTTTGGGGACTGATCTGTCGATATGTACCAGGTAACATAAATCACACTCCAAACTTCAGGGAATGGAATGTGAGACGTTGGGAAAATGAAGCCTGACTCAGTGTCAGCTGCATAGAGGACAGGGTATGAAAAGGTCAGGGTCAGGAGACTCAGTGCCTCAGGCCAGAGTGATAGCACAGCGGTGAGGGCATTTACCTTACCTGGGTTTGATCCCCTCCCTGGCTCCCCATGTGGTCCGCCTGGAGTAACCCCTGAGCATCACTGGGTGTGGGGCCCTCCCCTTCCCCCAAAAACAAAACAAAACAAATCATCATCAAAAAAAAAAAAAACAGTCTCTGGGGAAGACACCAGGTTTTGTTGTTTTTCTTTTTTCTTTTTGGGTCACTCCCAGCGATGCTCAGGGGTTACTCCTGGTTCTGCACTCAGGAATTACTCTTGGCAGTGTTCGGGGGACCATATGGGATGCCGGGGATCGAACCCAGGTCGGCCGCATGCAAGGCAAATGCCCTACCCGCTGTGCTTTCGCTCCAGCCCCGATACCAGGTTGTTTTTTTTAGGTTTTTTTATTGGTTTGTTTTGGGGCAACCCCAGCAGTGCTCAGGGATTATTCTGGTGGTGTGCAGGGGACCATATGTGATGCCAGGGATAGGACCAGGGTTGGCTACTCGTAAGACAAGTACCCAACCCACTGTCTTATCACTCTAGGCCCCACCACTGTTTTTTATTTATTTTTTTTTAATTTTTATTAGACACCATGAGGTACAGTTGTAGACTTACAAATTTTTGTGCTTGGGTTTCAATTATACAGTGATCAAATACCCATCCCTCCACCAGTGCCCATTTCCCACCACCACGGATCCCAGTATCCCTCCCACCCCCCATCCTCCCCATCCCACCCTGCCTCTGTGGCAGGGCATTCCCTTTTGTTCTCTCTCTCCTTTTGGGTGTTGTGGTTTGCAAAAGAGGCAATGAGCACCACTGTTTTTTAAATCAGCACTCAAGTATGAATTAACTGGAGCGTTTCCGTGTGACCAGTGATTTGCAGTGGTTCCTACCGAAATTGGAGGGTTTTCTTCAGGGACTTTCTTAGGCGGAAAATGAAGGTGCCTTTTCTGAACTCTGAGGGAGCTTCCTCCTCATTGTTGTAACTGTTTGGAGAGCCACGCGTGGTGGATGGAGGTGATTGCACTCCAGGCACGAGTACTTCTGAGGGCCGTGGGCAGCAAGCAGAGAAACCTCCTTCCCAGCTGCTGTGAGCTGAGGGTGGGTGGCAGCTCCCAGAGCCTGGTGCTGGCCCGCTGGCCCGGCTGGGTGTCTCCTTTGATAGAGAGACGTCACGAGAGTAAAGCAAATGATTCCACTCACTGATTTTCTATTTGGATTTTTTTTTTAATTTATGTTATAATTTAAAGCAAAACTATTTTAAAAATCCAAATATTGGAGCTGGAGAGATGGCACAGCAGGTGGGGCACTTGCCTTGCACATGGCCCCTGCTGCTTCACTCCCCAGCACCCTCATAGGGTCCCCCGAGTGATTCCTGAGAGCAGAACCAGGAGTAAGCCCCGAGCATTGCCAGGGGTGGCCCAAGAACACTGCACCGTAGCACTGTTCTCCCGTTGTTCATCGATTTGCTCGAGTGGGCACCAGTAACGTCTCACAACAAATTGTGAGACTTGTTGTTGCCATGTTTGGCATATCGAATACATCACAGGAAACTTGCCAGGCTTTGCCATGAGGGCGAATAATCTCGGTAGCTTGCCGGGCTGTCTGAGAGGGGCGGAGGAATTGAACCTGGGTCAGCCCAAGAACAAACAAACAAAAATAACAAGTATTAGTACTTTCAGAAATTCTTTACTTTTTTTTTTTTTTCACTTGCCTACTCCGTTTCATCCTGATTTTTCTTGGGACTTGCATAAATCTAAACTTCTTGTATTTCAGGACTAATGAATTTAGGATGATTGAAAACTGCCTTTATTGAGGGGGGAATAGTACAGCGGGAAGGCTTTTTTTTTGCCTTGCACGTGGGTGACCCGGGTTCAATCCCTGGCATCCCATATGGTGCCCCAAGCACCACCAGGAGTAATTCCTGAATGCAGAGCTAGGAGTGGGTTACCCCCCACACACACACAAAGAAAAAAGAAAATTGCTTTTATCGGTGCTTGAAGGTCAGGTTCTATGTGGAAATTCTGGGATGCCGAATGTGCCTAGTTGAAGAGTCTTGCTTAGTTTGTGTTTCTCGCCCTTCCAGGAAGATAAGAACATCAGATGGGCGTCGCGGTGGGACTACATCCTGGAGTCCATGCCGCATACCCACATCCAGTGGTTCAGGTAAGAGGACAGGTCCCTCCTGCTTAGCCTCTCTCTGCCCAGTCGATGCCTTGAGTCAGGCGAACTTGGCTCCTGGCTTTGGCTTGTGGTGCCTGCCTCGGGTGACTGGGAGCCAGAGAGGGAGAAGAGGCATCTTCTCTCTGCCTCACGGGAATCCTGGTCAGCCGCCGGGGCTGACTCAAAGCTTCCCTTTCAAGATACTGGCCACCGCGCTGGCACGTTCCTTTCCCTCTTGGCCATCAATGCCTGTGACATGTGTCACTTGTTACATAACATTGGTTTGTCCTTGCTCCTCCCCCAGGGAATTTGGGTTTATTGAGTTACTCCCGTAACAGTGTTCCTAAGACACACCCAGTTTCATCAGGCACTAATCATCCTATATTGCCTTTCTCTTCCTTTATGTTCTTTATATGGTTTAGCAATGTCTTTTTTTTTTTCCAGAATTACTTTTTATTTATTTGCCCTTTTGGGTCACACCCAGCAATGCTCAGGCGTTTTACCTGGCTCTGCACTCAGGAATTCCTCTGGGCGGTGCTCGGGGGACCATAAGCGATGCTGGGAATCGAACCTGTGTTGGCAGCGTGCAAGGCAGACGTCTTCCCCTCTACTATCGCTCTGGCCCCTAGCAATGTCCTTTTGTATAGACACAGGAAGACCACCTGTAAGAGGATGAGACTGTAAGAAGGAGAGGAGGAGAAATAAATGGCCCCTGACTGCCAGTCAGCCTGGGGGCCCTGTTCTTCCATTTCGCCATTCCTCCTTTGTTCGTCCATCACCATCACCTGGCTTGGGGAGGCGATTCTCAACGAATACAGGCGTCCCATGTGCCTGTGCTTCCTGAACTCCCGGTTATTTTGCTGAGTGAAGTGTGCTCGGTAGACTCACTCAGGGCTCGCGCAGCCCATGCCGTCTGGGGTGCGCTGCCTTGGGAGTCGTGGCTGTTTAGGGATATTGACCATGGGTCGGGGGCCGGGTGTTTGCCTTGCATGCAGCCGCCTCAGGTTTGACCCCCAGCACACATAGAGTCTTTGTACCACCAGGGCTAACCCCTAAGTATTACTGGATGTGGCCCCAAAACAAAAAATAATAATGTTGACCCTGGATAGACCCCAGAGCTGCATATTCAGTCAGTGAAGTCATGTGTGCACTTGAGATTCGGCAGAACACAATTCACTGAACCTTGCTCAGTGTGGGTCACGTGTTTTGGTTTACATGAGAGTGGTTCTGTGTGTGGTACTGGGGGGTGTAGCCCAGGGTCTCGCCCGAGCGGGGTCTGCACTCTGCCACTGATCCCCATGCCCGGTCCCCACTGATGCTCTCTTCACGTTACTCAGTGGACAGTCCTTTTGTCTCTGTTGGTTTTAAATAGGTGATTATGCACCGTCAGTTTATTGATTTCTAGGGAAATTGGTTTTTTTGTTTTGGTTTTTGGTTTTTTTTTGTTGTTGTTGTTGGGTTTTTTTTTGCTTTTTGGGTCATACCCAGCGATGCACAGGAGTTACTCCTGGTTCATGCACTCAGGTATTACTCCTGGGGGTGCTTGGGGGACCCTATGAGATGGATACTGGGAATTGAACCCGGGATGGCCATGTGCAAGGCAAATGCCCTACCTGCTATGCTGTCGCTCCAGCCCCAGAAATCTTATTCTTAAAGAGTTTCCTCTTGAAGAATCAAGCTACAGATAAGCCCTGGGTTGTGTGTCTCTACAGCATCATGAATTCCCTGGTCATTGTCCTCTTCCTGTCGGGCATGGTGGCCATGATCATGCTGCGGACGCTGCACAAGGACATCGCCAGATACAACCAGATGGACTCCACAGTGAGTGCTCGGCGGGCTTGTTCTTCCAACTGCCTTGCTTGTTTTTTTGATTTGGGTTTTGGGGCCACACCCAGTGATGCTCAGAGGTTAGTGACTCCTGGCTCTGTGATCAGGGATCACTCCGGGGGTGGGGTGGGGGGTGCGCTCCGGGGATCATAGGGGGAGCCAGGGATCGAACTCAAGTCAGCAGTGCGCAGGGCAAGCGCCCTCCTCCCTGCTGTGCTCTCCCTGCCTTGACTCTTTGTCTGGATAAAGTCTAAAGAGCCCGAGTTAGAGTTGGCATCTCAAAAGCTGTCTTGGATTCACATTCTCTTTTCTTTCTTCCTTTTAAGTATTTTTTTAATCACATTTATTTATTTTTTTTTTTGCGGGGGGGGGGTCATACCCAGGGATGCTCCGGGGTGACTCCTGGCTCTGCACTCAGGAGTTATTCCTGACGGTGCTTTGAGGACTATATGGGATGCTGGGGATGCAGACGCCCAACCCGCTGTGCTTTGGTCTTTTAACATTTGAAAGCACCCTTGTTGTCAAAAGTGAACAAGCTGTCTGTCTCTCTGTCTGTCTGTCTTGGTGATCCCGCATGACTTTCAGCGATCCCCTTTGCTTCGCAGGAAGATGCCCAGGAGGAGTTTGGCTGGAAGCTCGTCCACGGCGACATCTTCCGTCCGCCCAGGAAAGGGATGCTGCTCTCCGTCTTCCTGGGGTCAGGGACGCAGATTCTCATCATGACTTTCGTGACTCTGTGTGAGTGTGGGGAAATGTGACGGGCAGGCACAGCTCAGTGGCACGCACACCAGAGTTGGAACAGCAGAGGTCGGAGCGACAGCACATAGGGAAGGGCACTGGCCTTGCACACGGCTGACCGGGGCTTGATCCCCAGCACCCCGTAGGTCCCCCGAGCACTGCCAGGAGTAATTCCTAAGTGCAGAGCCAGGAGTCACCCCTGAGCGTGGCCTGAAATCCAACAAAACAAAACAAAAAGAAGCAAACAAAATAAAAATGGAACGCCAGAGAAGAATTGGGTGCCCCTGCTCAAGGATGACATGAAGATTTGTAAGGAAGGGAAGGACAGGGTAGAAACCTGCTCTCTGAGGCACTCGTCGAGAAGCCAGAGTGAGAAGCCAGGCCGGATTGTTGCAGGCCCCGGGCTGGGATGGCTGTGCCCTAGCTCAGAGCTGCTGACAGCTGGTGACGGGGTCCCCCGAGGCCGTCCGGTCTGAGTCTGGGTGACCGCGTGGGGAGAGGGGACGCGTGTCTTCGGACGCGCTTATTTCTCGTGGAGCAAAGGGAAGTGCCTCTGTGTCAAGCCCGTCCCCATGTCTGTCTGACTTCTGTCTTTCAGTCTTCGCATGCTTGGGGTTCCTGTCCCCTGCCAACCGAGGTGCTCTGATGACCTGCGCTGTGGTCCTCTGGGTGCTGCTGGGCACACCTGCAGGCTACGTGGCTGCCAGGTTCTACAAGTGTAAGTAAGACCCAACCACCCGCACCCCTGCCAGGCCTGGCTCTGCAGGGGCCGTGGATGGGGTGGGCTGAGGGGGGGGGGGTGCCCGTATTGATGAAAAGCTCCGGGGGGGTCTGTGTAATGTACATCACTGTATCTAGATTCATTTGTACAGAAGCTTTTTTTTTTTTTTTAGGAAGTTAGAGATTTGGCCAAACAACTTTGTTAGTTTTGTAGGAACGTAGCAGGGACTGGTGAAGGGAGAGTGTCCCGACACTTGCTGGCTCATTCCCTGGATGCTGGTCGTCCCTGCAGGGGGCAGTGCCTTCTATTAGAGAGTGAGCCGGTAGATTGCTCCCCGAAATAAAGCGGACTGAACAAGGACGTGACCGGGTGTTGCTGTTTGAGGAGCCTGGAGAGAGTCACCGTATTCAGGCGCGGGCTCTCTGGTCTCAGTTTCAGGCTCAGTGAAGCTCGGGGAGAAGAGAAAAGGGCCACACTCTCGGGGCCAGGTGGGCTGGGGCTCCCGACTGAGAAATCAGCTTTCTCGGGCTGAGGCGGCCAGTCCACTCGCTGCCCTTGGGCCCTGAGGCCTCATGGGCAGGGGTCTCAGGTGCCAGGCAGACGGGACCGAGCTTGGGCACGGGGTCTCCTGGCTGAAGCAGTTTTGAGGTCCAGCCGAGGGCTTGCTTGTCTGAGGCTGGCCAGGCTCAGCCCCAGGCCCAGGCTGGTTGTCCTGGACTCAGCACATTCCACCCGGGTCTGAGTGGGTGCATCTCCCTGAGGCCCTTTACTGAAGGCAGAGGATCAGAGTGGTCCCTTTCTTCTGCTCTGCTGCCGCGGGCTCCCCCGGTTTCCTTGTTCTGAGCCTCCATGCCTCAGGGCCTCCGCAAATGGGCTGTCCTGCCTCTGCCGGAGTTCCAGTCTGTGCCCCTCTCCCCTCCTCTGTGCCTTAGCACAGCCGGGCACTGGCCGGCACAAGGACCACCCCGAGTCGGTCCCCCCTCACATGGTCCTTTGAGCCCTAGCAGGAGTAATCCCTAAGTGCAGAGCCAGCACTCAGCCCTGAGCACTGCGGTGTGGTGCCCCCCACCCCCACCAAATGAAAGCCCAAGTGTGGCTGCCCACCTCGCGCTCCAGCTTGCCCCCTGCCGCTGCCCCTGCAGGCTCTGGCTGTTGGCCAGGAGGGTGTCGAGAGGGAGTAGTCCAGCCTACGAAACCATCGTTGGTGCTGGGTGTCAGCAAAGGCTTCTTTGACATTTTATTAGAGTTGAATTAAATTCAGACTTAATTTTTCAAGTCTCTTATTAGTAATTTGGGAGTTTGAATTGTATATAGAAGGACTTGCCACCCTCTCCCTCCTTCCTTTCTTTCCTTTTTTTTTTCAAGGCAAGTGCTACTTACCCAGGCTTAAGCCATGTTAAAACTGTACTGTTTTGGGTTTTTTTTTTCCAAAAGCCAAAACAGATTGCTGCTCTGGGCCAGCTTCACCTTCAGCATCCGAGCTGAGAGAGCTTCCTTTCCTTTGGGCCCAGAACACAGCACGGCTACCTTGACCTTCGTCTGTTTGTGTGATGAGCGGGGAAAAGCCGGGAAGGGGCCCAGGAGAGCGGAAACTCCATCTTTTCATCTCGGGATCTGACACTCTGGTGTCCCCACCCTCACGACTGCAGACACCAGTGTTAGGGGACCTTGCCCTCCAGGGTCACCATGGAAGTGGCCAGGTCGCATGCCAGGCTTTTTGGTTCTACGACTTTTCCGCCAGTGGCTCGTCTTCGTCCTCTGCGGTTGATGGAAACTGCCTGAGCTTGTTCAAGTTTGTTTCATGCGCTGGGGGGGTGGGGGGATGGGGCGAAAGGCCTGGCCTCAGCTCCTGGACAGGCTATTTCTATTATGCCTTGGTGAGGTCATTGGGTTGGCCTTCCGTGAGCATCTCAGGTGGGCTCAGCGTGGCCAGATGGGGGGCATCATGGCCTCACAGCCTTCAGGAGAGCTTGTCCAGTCCCACACTGGCACGGGGGCTCTTTGGGGTGGGCCGGAGCAACAGGACAGCAGCGAGAGCACTTGCCTTGACACAACCACCCGGGTTCGATTCCCAGCATCCCATAGCGTCCCCTGAGCACCACCAGGAGTGATTCCTGAGTACAGAGCTGGGAGTGACCCCAAAGCATTGCCAGTGTGGGTCGAAAACCAAAATATATATATGTATATGTATCTTTGGGTTGTTCTGTGTATTTTACTCCTTTTTTTTTCTTCACAGCCTTTGGAGGAGAAAAGTGGAAAACAAATGTTTTATTAACATCATTCCTTTGTCCTGGGTAAGTGGAAGTTTCTGTAATGATGTCATTTTTTATCTCCCCAATTTTCAGTCACATATGTAACCCATGCCTTTAAACCACATTCCTGAGAAAAATCTAATTTTTTAAAAAAGAGCGAAGTGGTGAAGAGATGGTACAGGGGAGAAGGCGCTTGATTTTCTTAGCACCAGCTCAGTTTCGACCCCTGGGCCCAGGGGAGACCCCCGGCACTGCCAGGATTGAGCCTGGAATAGAGGCAGGAATACACCCTGATAACCACCAGGTGTGGCCCTCCTGAAATAAAAGAGTGGACGGGAGCCCTTATTTACTCTTGCAGAATAACTGCCACATGACTTGCTTTGGGAAAAATCTGTCTCTTCCCGTGTAGAAGTCAGCATGGCCAGTTCTTTGTTCATTTTTTTCCCTAAGTTTTTGTTTCTTTCAATCCAATCACCATGAATTACAAAGTTACAATATTCTTCCCGATTGACTTTCAAGTGTAGAGCTTCTAGCCTCATCTCTTCACCTGTCTGGCCTGTCCTTTTGTCAGGCTGCATTAAAGGTTTTGACCGAGGAAGCTGGAGCGATAGCACAGGAGATAGGGCATTTGCCTTGCATGTGGCCGACCCAGGTTCGATTCCCAGCATCCCACATGGTCCCCTGAACACCAGTAGGAGTGATTCCTGAGTGCAGAGCCAGGAGTAACTCCTGAGCATTGCCCGGTGTGGTCCAGAAGAGAAGGGAAAAAAAGGTTTTGTCCGAGGGGCCAAAGCCATAGCACAGCGGGGAGGGCGTTTGTCTTGTACATGGCCAACCCAGGTTTGATCCCTGGCACCCCAGATGGTCACCCAAGCACCGCCAGGAGTAATAGCAGGAGTGCAGAGCCAGGAGTGAGCCCTGAGCACCGCCCAGTGTGACCCAAAAAACCAAAAAAAGGAAAAAAGCTTTAGACCGAGTCGGACAGGATGGTCCAGGCAAGCACATTACTGAGTATGGCACTCCTTCCTCTGTGGGCTTCGTAGAAGTTATCCCTTTCGAAAGAATTGCTGGTTCTTTCAAATTGCTGATCGTCCTTGTCCTGATTAAATCATTTCGTCCCACCCAGAAAAGCAGGTGTTCACTGGTGGGATGCTTAAGAGTGGGCAGAAGGGAAGGCGGGAGGGGGAATTGGTTTTCACCAGGGAAAGAAGCACCCAAGTTTACTCATATATATCACGACTTTTTCTATGAAAGAACACCTGTGTAGGGTGATTGTAGTAGATAAGGCAAGTGCGTTAGATAATCGTAAACATTGTTTCTAGATTTAAAAAATAGGAATTTAGAGGCGAGAGAGCCTTCCTCATAGTGATAACAATCTCATCTCTAATTCAAAACCTGCATCTTTTAAATTTTTTTTTTATCTCTTTAATTCTCTTGGTTTTCAGCCCATACCCCACAGCCCACGTTACGGGGGTGGAAGACCCACGTGTTTCCTGGGATTGGACCTGGGGTCCCCCCATACAGAGCATCTTTCCAGACCCTCCCTGGCCCCCAAATTAATGATCATTATTTAATGATGAAACTCGAGAGACTTTCTTGTTAAAACTTTTTTGGCTTCAGTTACTCAAGTTCTGACCACCATAAGCATGAAACAGGAACATATGTCACAAATTGGCGGGGATGGGGCAGGGGAGCATACTGGTTTTCATTGGTGATGTGGTTTGAGAGTGCCATGAACTTCCGGCTCTGAGGCTTACCTACTAAGTGAAAATTGGGCACAGTGTGTCTGGACTCAGCCCAAGGCTAAGGCACTTGCTTTGCGTGTGGCCAGCTCCGATTGGTCCCCAGCCACAGGACTAGGGTCCCCCCCAAAAAAATACTTTATAAAGAGAATTTGACAGAATACTTTATAAAGAGAATTTGACAGAATGGCATCAGCTAACCACCATAGACCTTTAGCCGCCAGTAATGAATGCAGTACAGTGTCGAATGGTGCCTGGAGGTGACAGAGTGAGACGACTCGCAGGATCATGAGCCACAGAAAGATCTTTGCAGTTGATGAGGGGATTTCTTCAAGCGTGCATGACCCATAAGGTTCGCCTGCTGGCTACTATTCCTGGTCACCCATCTGAGGGGGGTTGGAGCTGTCTCATGGTTGCAGGGACAGAACCTGGGTCTGTTTCCACCTCTTGTGGGAACGTCACAGATAGGGACTGTTCCATGCTGCTGGGGTGGCCGATGACACTAAGCGAAGGGGGAGAGATTCTGTCCCTCACCTCACCCGCAGAAATCACCTCCAGGGAGATGCAAGCTTAACTGTAACAGGCACAGCAGTCGAATGAAAATATAACTATCTTTATGATCTTAGATGTCTAAGTCTTTCAGGTTACGCAAAGTTCAGGGCCTGAAGCCGGAGTACAGAGGTTCAGCTAACCCGGGTTTGGTTCCTCGCACCCCAAAGAGTTCCAGTGATCCCTGAGCACTGACAGGTGTGGGCCTCCCTTCCCCCTCCCCACCACACATAAAGTTAGACAAAGAATAAGGAGGAAATGGCATATTAAAACTTGTTATTATGCATGAGGTGTTATGTATGAGTCATTGTAGACAGATTACAGTGTGTTCTTTAAAGTATATTCAAAGAGGAAAGGAAGTGAACTTTACACACTCTGGGGTGGCTGGGATCATAAAAGGCCACGGGCTGGAAGAACAAAGTTTTTGTTTGTTTTTTTGGGCCACACCCAGCAGTGTTCAGGGCTGACTCCTGGAGGGCTCTGGGGACCGTTGGGGTACCAGGGACCAAACCCATGTGGCTGCATGCAAGGCAAGCGCCTTCCCTGCTGTATTATCTCTTCGGGCCCCCCCCGGACGAACAAGATATTTAAGATATTTATTTAAAATATTTATGGTTGCTGGAGTGTAGCTAGAGCTCCCATACATAGATTCTCTAAAGACTTGCACCCCGCAGGAAAGCAAGCGGTGTATGGCACCCCCAGGCGGGAGAGGAGACCCAGAAAGCAGTAGTCTGAGGGTGCTGGCTGCCCTGTCTGTAGGGGTACCCGGCTGCCGTTCCTGGCAGGTTTGCATTCAGTCTGCATCCTGCACTCGCTGCTTGAGTGTGGGTGCGCTGTCAGCTACTGACGAGGTCTATAGGCGCGGACGAGGGGTGCTGGCACGTCTGCTGCTGCCGTTGGCGGGGACGAACAGAGTTTTACCCCAAAGCCTGTCGTGTCTTTCAGCATCATGTTCGCCGACTTCTTCATCATAAACCTGATTCTCTGGGGCGAGGGCTCTTCGGCAGCCATCCCCTTCGGCACGCTGGTGGCCATCCTGGCCCTGTGGTTCTGCATCTCGGTGCCTCTGACCTTCATCGGTGCCTACTTTGGCTTCAAGAAGAACGTAAGTCAAGAGGGCCGCCTCTTTCGAGGAACATTCCCATGGTGGAGAGAGCGTCTGCCACCAGAAGGGATGAGAACACCATAAGAACTGTAACGGGCACAGCAGTCGAATGAAAATATAACTATCTTTATGATCTTAGATATCTAGGTCTTTCAGGTTATGCAAAGTTCAGGGCCTGGAGCCAGAGTACAGAGGTTTAGCTAACCCGGGTTTGGTTCCTCGCACCCCAGAGAGTTCCAGTGATCCCTGAGCACTGACAGGTGTGGGCCTCCCTTCCCCCTCCCCACCACACATAAAGTTGGGGTTGGTGGGGGAGCCAATGTCCAGCAGGGAGGGTGTTTGCCTTGCAGGTGGCCAACCCGGGTTCCATCCGCGCCATCCCATCTGGTCCCCAAGCACAGTGGGGAGTGATTCCTGAGTGCAGAGCCAGGAGTGATTTCTGAGCTTCACCCCGTGTGGCACACACCTTCCCCCCCCCCCAAAAAAAAAGGAAAACTTTCCACATAGGGTCTGAGTTTTATAGAGACTTCTGAGTTTGTTGGCAGTCGTTCTGAAAACACTAATGACTTTGGAATATGGACGGAGACCAGAGATGTAAACTTAGATTTCAGAAACTATGTACTTAGTAAGTGCTAACAATTGTATTTGTTTTTTTAATCTGAAAAAATGGCACGCAGGGTTTTGTCTTAGCAGTGTGCCTATCTCTAGATGAGATTAAATAAGGAAACCTGGAATATGAAATTCGAATGTAAGGAGATTAACTTGGTAAAGCCAGAGTGCCAAGTTTTCTGGGTGTTTTGATTTGGGGCCACACCTAGTGGCACTCAGGCCTTACCCTGGCTCTGCACTCAGGGATCCCTCCTGGAGGGGCTCAGAGGACCCTGCGGGGTGCCTGGGGTTGAACCAACACCTTCCCGGCCGTACTCTCTCTGACCCTCCCCTCAGAACTTACTGATAGGAGACTTGGGAGTGAATGACCTAGTTCCTCCTGCTGAAGTTTGACTTTCAGGGAGGCTGGTGATCAAGGTCCAGCTTCTCTCCTCCCCTGGCTCCCTCCATCTGCCCTGAGGCTCAGAGGAGCAGGAGAATCATTCTTCCTGTATTCCCGTCACTTCCTTATTCTTCTCTGAAAGTGTCCACCCGCGTTTCAGAGAAGGCAGGAGAAGGCGGTGCTGCACCGTGGGCGGGTCTAGGTGCCTGCTTCCTGTTTCCACCCCCTACCCCTGGCTGCTCCAGACCTCGATCCTCTTTAGCATTTTGCTTGATTTATAATGTCTTTGGGATCTTTTTTAATTATATGGATTCATTAAGTACTTGGAAATTCCCAAATGTTCCAGTTAAAAATCTAAAAATGGACAAACTATCATGTTTTTCTACCTGTGTACACATGATCTCAAGGGAAAATGCCGGATTTTAATGTGTCGTCACAGAAGCTGTAGAACCCTGGTTTTTTCCCTCCACCAAGAACATTTCTGCACCATTCAGGGGGTTGATTCAGGGGGTTGATTCCCCTCCCTCGTGGTGCGTCATGAGAGGGAGAATAATCGAGAATACCACCCGGTACCACGCCTGCAGTCAAAGTCACAGTCGTCTTCAAGTAGAATTGAGCTGTTCTTATCAAGACATCTTGGACTGAAAACCTGCCAGCAGAGTTCAGAACCTGCTCTTGTTCAGTGTCCAGTGACCCATGATGAAAGGCTAAATCCGGCTGAGCCGCCTCATCCATGCCCCTGAGAATAGGAAGTGTCCCCCCCCCACCCCCCGTGTGTGTCGGGGGCAGGGCCATGTGCTGAGGTTCTATTGCCCTGTGCCTCACTGACCACACTCTCACTGGCCGCTGGTGTCCGCCAGGGCTTGAACTGACCATGGAGTTGTCAGTGGAGCCCACGTGTGCTGACCCTCACCCCTCTGTCTCTCCCGAAGGCCATCGAGCATCCGGTTCGGACCAATCAGATCCCGCGGCAGATCCCCGAGCAGTCCTTCTACACCAAGCCCCTGCCGGGCATCGTCATGGGTGGCATCCTGCCCTTCGGCTGCATCTTCATCCAGCTCTTCTTCATCCTCAACAGCATCTGGTAAGCCGGGCCGTGGGCTCAGCCTCATTCCCCCCTTATGCAGCTTTCTCCTTTCCCCTGGATCACATGTAGCGCTTATAAATTTAGCCGCCCACTCCGGTGACCCGAACTCTTCAGAGCCAAAAGTTTTTCTCTGTTCATGCAAGGAAGAAGAAAGAATGGCAGTGGCAGCTGGTGGTCTGTCCAGGGGGCCGGGGGGCTCCCAAGCAGGGCGCCGAAACCCAGGTCTCCCACCAGCGTTCTTGGCCCGCGGGGCCCAGGGCGTGGGGTGGCTCTGACACCCCAGGGACACCCGAGCTCAGGTGCCCGTTAGAACCTCATCTGACCACTGCTTCCCCCCCCCCCCCCCCCCCCCCCCCCCGGCCCACCACAGGTGTGGCTGACAGAGGCCTCATGGATGCTCCATCTTCAGAGTGAGGCCATGTGACTGCAGAGATTTGCCTTTTCCGGTGAATGGCCTGCAGCTCCTGGGCCGAGGCCTTTCCACAGGCCGTGCTTCCCACATCTTCCCACTCCCGTGGGGCGGGCTAGGTCGAGGGCTGGGTCACAGGCTTCCATCGGAGCTTGCCGGCATTGGCGGAGACTCGGGTTTCCGGGAGCAGAGAGCCAGAGGGATGCTTAGGGTCCTCGGGGCCAGCTGAGGCTTCCCGTGGAGGCAGCGTCTCCCAGGTCTAGCCTAGAGCAGTGCGACCCACAGCACATCCCGCGTGGAGAAGGGCTCCTGGCGGCCCTGTGTGGGCAGGTGGAGTTCAGCCGTGTCCCTGCCAGGGTCCATGCAAGTTGGGTGTCTTTACAAGAAGAGTGGAACCCTTTCAGTCAAAGGAAGAATGAAAAGCTCATGGCAGTTCCCGTGCTGGAGAGAAAATACTCAGCGCTTTTGTCTGACCCGTTTGATGACAGGTCCCACCAGATGTATTACATGTTCGGCTTCCTGTTCCTGGTGTTCATCATTTTGGTCATCACGTGCTCTGAGGCCACGATCCTTCTCTGCTACTTCCACCTGTGTGCAGAGGTAGGCATCTGGGGCGGGCGGCCAGGGTGGCGGCGGTCCTCGTGGCTCCTCCCAGCTCTGCTCTTGGGGGCCACTCCTGGTGGAGCTTGGGGGACCCTGTGGTCCCTGTGTTCCAGCCAGGGCCTTCTGTTTACCCAGTGTGTGCTCGTCCCTCTGAGCTGACTCAGCCCGAACTTCGAATATTACAAATTGTGTAATCATTTCTGTAGTGTCCCTTTAGAAACAGACCTGGGGCTGGCGTGCTCGTCCAGCAGGGAGGGCCCCTGCCTTGCCCACGCCTGATCCAGGGTCAGTCCCCGTACCCCCTGTGGTCCCCTGAGCTCGCCAGGAGTGATCCTTGGGTGCAGAGCAGGAGTAAGCCCCGCACATGCTGGACGTGCTCATCCAGAAACCAGAAATGGCCTGAGTTTCTGAATCAGATAGTACTTTTGAACTCTGAGCTCTTGGCACGTTACTTTTCTTTGGTAAACATATATTCGAAAATACATGCGGGGGGCGAGAGTGATAGAATAGTGGGTAGAGCTCTTGCCTTGCCTGCCGTCCCTTGAGCCCCACCAGGAGTAATCCCTGACCACAAGGCCAGGAGTAAGCCCTGAGCACCACTGGGGTGTGGTCCCAAAACAAAGCAATAGTAGCAACAGCAACAAAATATGACTCTCTATTCTACTGCTTAATTAGTGACTGTTGAAATTGAAGGTTTTTTGTAAAGGCAGCTCCAAAGGTAGGTGATATCAGGGCCAGAGCCATAGCACAGCAGGGAGGGCATTTGCCTTGCACGTGGCTGATCCTAGTTTGATCCCCGGCATCCCATGTTTTTCCCCAAGGCCTGCCAGGAGTGATCTCTAGCACAGAGCTTGGAGTAAGTCCTGAGCACTCCCAGGTGTCACCTCAAAACAAACCCACAGAAGTGGGTGGTGCTTTTCCCTCCATCACCAGGGGTCTGGCCAGTGGACAGGGACCCTCTCGGTGCTGCAGGCTGCCGAGACTTGAGCTTGTGGCCCAAGACTTGCCGGGCAAGCTCTCTCTCTCTCTCTCTCTCTAAGCTGGAGCCAACTTCCTGTTCCCAGCACAGCCGCTCAAGGAGCTGGGGAGGTGCAGGGCTCCGGAGGAGGAAGATGCCAGCTCACTCAGCCCTGGGGGGGGGGGGGGGGGGGGGGGGGGGGGGGCTCTGTGCCCTGACCCCCGGCACGGTCCTGGCTACAGGAAGGTGACTCTGTTCTCGTCCCCACAGGATTACCACTGGCAGTGGCGCTCGTTCCTTACCAGCGGCTTCACTGCGGTTTACTTCCTGATCTACGCGATCCACTATTTCTTCTCAAAACTCCAGATCACAGGCACAGCCAGTACAATTCTGTACTTTGGCTATACCATGATAATGGTCTTGATCTTCTTCCTTTTTACAGGTAAGCATGAAAGTCCACAGTGAGGTTTACAGGGCCGGGGTGATGGTGCAGTGGGTCAGGGCGCTTGCCCTGCATGCGGCCGACCTGGGTTTGATCCCTGCCAGGAGTAAGCTCTGAGCACTGCCGAGTAAGGCCCAAAAAACAGCACCAACAAGAAGAAATGTTTGCACTAATTGGAATGGTTATAAGTCTTTGGTCACTGATAAAAATGCCCATCTTTCTTTCTTCGAGAAAGTGGGAAAGTTTATAGAAAAGTAGAAGAGAAGGCAAAGAAACTGTCCGCGTGCAGAGAAACTTAACCTCAGACGAAATAAAACATGCCCCTTTATTTATTTAACTTTTTTTAAGTTCAGTTATCTTTTTTTTTTCCACCGTTATAAAGTTGTTGATGTTTGGGTTTCAGACATTCAGTGTTCAACACCCGGCCCTTCACCAGTGCATAGTTCCCACCACCAATGTCCCCAGTTATGTGACCCTGTAATAAGACCCATGGGGGCTCCCTGCCCTCTTCCTTTCCTGGCACAAATCAGGAGACTTCGGTCTTTGCCCTGTTGTGGGCTGAGGACCAGTAACCCCCAGGAAGGTGAGCTGACTGGGGCCTCCCTCCGTGCACGGAGACGAAGGAAGGAGGTGGGACGCCGGTGGAAGCCAGAGCTCAGGAGGGGACACGGCCCTCAGTTGTCCGGCAGTCGCCCTCCCTCCATCACTCTGCATGTGTATAAAGGCCTCTTGGGTTCCTTTATTTTTATTTATTTACTTATTTTTACTAGTGAGACCATGAGGTACAGTTGCAGACTTAACACATTTTTGTGCTTGGGTTTCAATTATACAATGATCGAGTGCCCATCCCTCCACCAGTGCCCATTTCCCACCACCACAGATCCCAGTATTCCTCCCCCTTGGGTTCCTTTAAATCTTTGAAAGTAATGGTCCCTGGTAGCCACCCTCAGAAGCTCGGCATTCCGTTGTTCTGTGAGCCTGACAGTCTGTTCGGGCCATTCACTGCCATCCTCCTTCAGGAGACATTTCCATTTGTGATTGAACAATCTGAAATCTGCCAGGAAGCGTCTGTGTCACTTTCATCCTGTAGTGTAAAATCTTAGCACACTGAAGGTTGTATGTTCACGGCCTCACTGGATGGCTCTTTCTCATCGCCTGCGTTCAGTGCTCTTGAGCCCTGTGTGTGGCCTGGATCAGTACAGCTGTTCTTTCTCTCAAGCTTGAGCCCCTCTTGCTCTGACTCTCCATTCCCCGAGCTTACAGTCTTAGTTTATATAGCAATCACGTAAGGCGTAAGGAGTAAGGCGGTGACATAAAGGTGGGTTGAATATTGACAAATCAACAAAGAGAGGTAAGGCCACTCCCCCAGGAGATTGACTCAAGGATAAAATCTCATCTAAAGAGATTACTCCAGATTTTTAGGAGATCCGCTCAAGGATGGGATCCCAACAAGGGTGTGTTCTTCCCTCAGTTAGTAATCTACTTAAATAGTTGTAATAAATCTACTTCTAATATTTCTAGCAATGTCATTCTGTATGAGCACAGTAAGAGATATAAATTTAGCTTGGTTCTTCCTGAGAACATCTCACTATACATTCCGCAGTCCTCAGGCCAGGTTAATCTTCCTACCTCCAGCAGGGTCCTAGTCTTGTCATTACTTACTTTTGGATCATGACAGCATTTGTCCATGATCATTCCCTCAACTTATAGTTGAGTATCGTGGCGCTTTGGCCTGGCCCATTTCGAATGCCAGGGTAGCTCACAGCTTGCCCTGGGTCCATTCAGTCCCTCGTCGGGACCCTGCTTTTGGGGTGCTAGGAACTAAGGGCAACTGAGTCAAGAAAGCAGATGCCCAGAGGTAAATATTATTCAGAGTCAATCAACTCCCAAGTTACAAAGCATAATATTGACTGTCTTCCTGTGTCCATGCAGAAAGGACATTGCTTACAAGTTCAGTGTCCTTAGATGGGTGTGACCCGATAAACCTAAGCTACCTGAGGAAGGACAAAACAGTGTTATCCTACACTGTAGTAAGAAAAAAGAATAGTTGGGCCAGGGTGATACACAGCAGGAAGGACACTTGCCTTGCGCTCAGCTGGTCTGGGTTCAATTCCCAGCATCTCATATAGTCCCCCTGAGCACCACTAGGAGTAATTCCTGAGCTCAGAGTTCAGAGTCAGGAGTAAGCCCTAAGGTCTGTCGGATTCAGCCCACAAAACAAAAAAAAGAAAGCCAAGGCAAGCCTGCTGGCATAAAAGGTTCTTAATTCCAGTTTCTGTCCCAGAGAGTCAGAGGTGTGTGTAAGAGCCTGAACCAAGGGTATATTCCAATAGTTTTGTGCCCTTTTTTGTAGGAAATGACCATGTTAAGTCAGCATTTTTGTGAAAATTATGAAACTCCCTTTGAAAAAGTTTTTTTTTTCCTCATAGGAACAATCGGATTCTTCGCGTGCTTCTGGTTTGTCACCAAAATATACAGTGTGGTGAAGGTCGACTGACAGAGCCCAGCCTGCCCAGTTAAAACAGAAATAAATCAATTCTTCATCAACAGAGACCTGGTTTTGTGACTCCCTTGAGTTTTATCAGACATATCGGCCTAGTAATCCTTCAGAAAAAAACCTAATTCGAAATAACACCTCTTCCCACACACCCGTCCCCACCAAACTGTGTTTTCAACACTCAGACATTTGTATTGTGATCTGATTAAGTATATATTCAGTTGTTCTCAGTGGAGAGCAAATTTAAATATTATGTGCATTTGTAAATACAATAGCTATACAGTTTTCCATCCTAATGCAGATAGAGGTGGTCATATTCAGTGAAATGCAGGACTGTTTGTTGTAAATAGGATTTTCTAGGCTCTGGAGGCAGAAAGAATTATTTTTCTTTGAAGGAAATAACTTTTTATCATGGTAATTTTGAAGGATGATTCGTATGATATGTTTATGGGGGTGTGGCTTTAAAAAAAAAACTCTTGTATTGGTTGTAACTGTATCTTTTCTGTGTTGACTACATTATTCCCGTGGATTGGCCTTTTAAACTATGTGCCTCTGAGTCCTTCACTTTATAAATTTGTTATCTTAATAAATATTGTAAAAACGTCTGCATTGCATCTGACCTGTTGTATATTCGAGGACTCTATAAATACAGATCTGTTTACCAAAGGTGTTTTGAAATGATTTATACCATTTTGTCAGCTTTTCCTGACTTTTGTTCGTGTTTCCCTGTTCGAGTTTCAGTCTAAGAGAAATTCCAGTCTCCTGGGTTCTGTGACAAAGCTGGTGTGCAGTAACGGGTGCAGTGACGGGAATCTCACCCCAGTGTCCCTCGGTGGGAAAGCAAGGGGGCCTGGTACACAAGAGCAGGTCTTTGTCATAACCAATTTTACAGTTTGGGGCCTGTTTTTCAGAAAATCGTGTTCCTGATTTTGTTGTTGTTTTTACTTTTTGGGTCACACCAGGTGATGCTTCGGGCTTACTCCTGGCTCTGCACTCAGGAATTACTCCTGACAGTGCTCAGGGGACCATATGGGATGATGGGATTCAAAACTGGGTCGGCCTGCATGCAAGGCAAATGCCCTACCCACTGTGCTGTCGCTCCAGCCCCCAACGTTTCTGATTTTAAGAAAGTCGGTTTTTATGGTTTGCACATTCGCAGTGATGAGCAGTCTTTCTCTTTGTCGTTCTAGTCTCTTGATTTGCATTTTGTAAACGTGTTTATTTCTTAGTCTCACAAAATAACTGCTTCTCTTTCACGTCATCTGACATGTTGAAGCCAGCAATGTGGAACGCAGAGCCAGGGAGGGTTTGGGAAGCCCGAGTCTGCCGTCACAAGGCGACTTGTCTTCTGTTTCAAAGGCCGAGTCTTGGCACTTCTGAGAGCAAATTCCACGCTGCCGGTCACTGGCAAGGAAAGTCACAAGCATGGGCTGTTGGTGGCTGAGCTCTTGCCGATTTATTTTTTAATTTTATTTATTTATTTATTTATTTTTGCTTTTTGGGTCACACCTGGCGATGCACAGGGGTTACTCCTGGCTCTACACTCAGGAATTACTCAGGAATTACTCCTGGCGGTGCTCAGGGGACCATATGGGATACTGGGAATTGAACCCAGGCTGGCCACGTGTAAGGCAAACACCCTACCTGCTGTGCTATCTCTCCAGCCCCTTGCCGATTTATTTTTATTCCTCCCTCCCTCCTCCCCCTCGCTGAATAATTTTATATTGATACTTAACAATATCAAAAAGTGGCCTGTAATTCTGAAGAGTGCAGCAATTCTTGTTTATTTGGAACCTCTCACATAGAAGATTCAAGATAAAGATTCATTTCAAATTTTTTTCCTGTGCCTATTGCAGTGGTTTTGTGGAGGGCTGTGGGGCCGGCCAGGATCACTCCTGACAGTGTTCAGGGCCGGAGGCCATGCTGGGGATCGCACCAAGGTCAGTCATGGGAAGGAAAGCACCCAGACCATCTCTCCTGGCCCTCTTGCAGTGGACTGTACCGCTGAGAAAGTCTGGCGGACCCAAAAGATCTTCCAGGGGCTGGAGCAATAGCACAGCAGGTAGGGCGTTTGCCTTGCACGCGACCGACCCAGGTTCAATTCCCAGCATCCCATATGGTCCCCTGAGCACCGCCAGGAATAACCCCTGTGCTTCGCCAGGTGTGACACCCCTCCCTCCCCACAAAAAAAGATTTTACAGCCATCTCTGGGTTCAGACACTGATTTGGTTGGTCAAAATTTCTTTCATTTTATTTTTCCTTCAGGGAACCAATCTGCTAATGATCAAACCGAAGTGTCTTGATGAACTTTTTTTCTTTTTTCTTGATGTAATCCTATTAACCACGACTTGAAGCTGATACTACGGCTGTTGGGAATAAAGGGCCCCCATGAAAGAGAAGACAGTGGACAGCTCAGGGCCGGGGAGTGGTGGGGAAGTCCCCTGCATAGGCCAACACAGTCGGCCAGCTGGACTCTGGGCAGCCTTTTCCCACGTTGGGTCTTAGGGCAGAAAGTAGCTGTGTTCTCAAGGCCCTTGCCTGAGGATGAGGTGGACAGACCCCAGGGCAGCTGCCGTGAGCGGAGGTGAAAGCCCATCCAGGAAAACTGAGGGCATTTTTCTCATTAGGGAAATGGGCAGAGCTTTTTCCTTTTTGACCAATAATTCGAATGTCCACCAGGATGTTCCTAGAACATTCAGTATGGATCAGGACTGGACTCTGCTTTTTGGGGGGGGCGGTCACACTTTGTAATGCACAGGGGTTACTCCTGGCTCTGCACTTAGGAATTACTCCTGGTGGTGCTTGGGGGACCATGTGGGATGCTGGGAATTGAACCCAGGTCAGTCACATGCAAGGCAAACGCCCTACCTGCTGTGCTATCGCTCCAGCCCTTGGACTTTCTTTACTTTTTTTTTTTCTTTTTGGGTCACACCCGGCAACACACAGGGGTTACTCCTGGCTCTGCACTCAGGAGTTACTCCTGGCGGTGCTCAGGGGACCATATGGGATGCTGGGAATCAAACCCGGGTCAGTCACATGCAAGGCAAACTCCCTACCTGCTGTGCTATCTCTCCAGCCCCTCTTTCTTTACTTTTAATGATTGTATTTGGGGCTGAGGACTGGAATGATAGTACAGTGGGAAGGGCATTTGCCTTCCACACGGCTGACCTGGGTTTGATCCCCGGCATCCCATAGGGTCCCCAGATTCTCCCCAGGAATTCCTGAGTGCAGAGCCAGGAGCCCTGAACACTGCCGAGTCTCTCCCCCAAATGAAACAAAACCTATGATGGGGAGCAGAGGTGTTGGGCCATGCCTGGCCGTGCTTAGAACTTACTCCTGGCTCTGTGCTCGGGATCACTCCTGGCAGGGCTTGACACACCCAATGCAATGCCAAGGATTGAACTGGGCAGGCCATGCCTGGGCCCAGTGCCTAAACCCCCATCATAGCCAACTGCTGAGCCTTTTTTTTTTTGGGGGGGGTCACACCCAGCTTTGCACAGGAATTACTCCTGGCGGTGCTCAGGGGACCATATGGGATGCTGGGAATCGAACCCGGTTCTGCTGCGTGCAAGGCAAACGCCTTTCCCGCCGTGCTATTGCTCCAGCCCCACTGCTGAGCCTTTTGAAAGAAAGCAGCCATTGTGCCTTGGGCTTGTTGAGACATCAGGATGTATATTGGCTAATATTGGGCACATTGCCAGCTGTAATGCAGAACCCTGGGCCGTGGGGTCTTGCACACTGTTTCTGACACCGAACGGTTCCTTGTACCAAGCCCAGGCCCCCTTCCCAGGCTCCCTGGGTACGTTTCCACCAATCCCTCCCTTTGTTCTCCGCCTCTTAGTTTTGCCAACGATTCTAGATTTTTACTTATAGCCGCTGAGATTTCTGGTGTGGGCTTGGCCTGCTCTGTCTGCCTTTGCTGACCCCGTTGATGTGGTCCCCTGAGTTCACACGACCCCTTCTCCCCCCACATCCAGCCCTGCATCACTGGGTTTTCTGGGTGGGCCCGTCCACCTCAGTCCTTGCCCCCTAACCCTGTTCACAGAGCCGAGCTGGGAGCCTGGACTGGCGGAGATGGACCCCCACACAGTGGACACTGCTGCCCAGCTCCTTTGTGCTGGCCCTGCCCACCTAATGGGAGGGTTAGGGTTCTGCGGCCCCCGTCTCTGGCCTAACCTGTTGCTTGGTGTTCTCCAGTGTCCTCCTCTCATCGCCAGTTCTGCACACCCCTAGCTGTAAGGCCTGCGTGTCACTTGGGAACCGCAAGCGCATCGCGGCAAAGGCAAGCCCATGTCCCGTTTGTACCCCACTCCCACTCCTCCTTTCCGTGGAGGTGCAGCCTGCCAGGGGCCGTGCCCAGAGCTGGGGGCGCAGAGGACCCAGTCTCCAGGTTGAGCCCTGTGTGTTTCCCCTGCAAAGTCCTATTCGGGGTCTCGGCCTCTCCCCACCGTCCCCCTCCTGGCCAATGACTTGGTCCCAGCAGAAGGCAGTGGACTCGGTTGTGACATCTGCCCTTGATGCACACGGCCATCTCTAACCATTGGGCCATGCCGCTGTCCTCTCCCGCCCTAAAAGGCTGCAGCCGCGTCCAGCTCTCTCTGCTCATGCAGATCTTCACTGTGAGCTAAGGAGCTGAGCTGGAGTGATAGCACGGCCGTTAGGGCACCGACCTGCCTCCCATCCCCAGCCCATGTCCTGCCAGAAGTGAGCCCTGCTCAGCTGGGGGTGCCCACACCTCCCCCCCAAAAAAAAATTTAAAAAGAGGGGAGTTAAGCAAAAAACCTCAATACAGAATGTTCAAGCCAGTGGACGGCATTTAACTACTCTTGTAGTTCTGTCAATTATGCTTGAGTCAGGGGACTTTACCCCCCACCCAGCCTGCACCTGAGCACCAAGCCACATCCCTGGCCCCCAAATAAATGTATTTTTTTGTTTTTGTTTTTGTTTTTTTGCTTTTTGGGTCACACCTGGTGATGCACAGGGGTTATTCCTGGCTCTGCACTCAGGAATTACTCCTGGTGGTGCTCGGGGGACCATATGGGATGCTGGGAATCGAACCCAAGTTGGCTGTGTGCAAGGCAAACGCCTTACCCGCTGTACTATCGCTCCCCAAATAAATGTTTTGCTGCACTAAATTTATAGTAGGTAAATTGGGTGGGTGAGAGCAAACCTCAGAGCAGCCTGAAAATAAAAGCAGGACCCCCTGCAGAAAGTTCTCTCCCGCCCAAAAAGGCTCCTGCTGCCAAGGGAAGGGGCCGAAGTGACTGGACAGCGGGAGGGTGCTGGTCCTGCACACTACAGACCCGGGTTCCATCTCCAGCACCCCGAATGTTCTCCTGAACCTGCCAAGAGAGAACCCCGAGTACAGACCCAGGAGTAAGCCCTGAGCACCAGACCACTTGTGCTTCCCCCAAAAGAAAAAAAAAAAAAAAAGAAAAACTGCAGAACCCTGGTTAGTGAGGATCTTGGTCAGTTCGATGTTGTCATGTGCCAGGGCTGCCGGAACCAAACGGAAAGCACCGGGGGACACGAGCCACGGAATCATTTCTTCTCAATTCTGGACCCGAGAAGTCCAAGGTCGCAGCGCCAGCATCACATCTGGCCA